CCTTCACCGTGACCTCAGGCCAGCTAGTCAGTGCAGACAGTAAGTCAACCTACCCCCAAAAGACTTACTCCAGGAAAGACTAACCACACAGCAGGCACAGGCAAGCACTCTTCCAAGCCAGCCTGGACACAAAGATGACCACGTTCAGGTGCCACTGGACCACCACGGTCACCTCCAACAGCAAACACCAACTGCATGCAACAGTAAGGTAGGCACTTCATAAGCTAATACTCTGAATGGCCTACAGGACAAGGCCTGGGGATGTGGGCTGCAGAGCTGGCCAACTCAGAGGTCAGTACGGCAAAAAAGATGATGCCTTTTGTCACCTTGGCTGATCGGGAATGGAGACAAGATCTGAACTGCCATCCCCAAAATGCTGGCGGTGGACAAGGACAGGTAACACATGAAGGGAGTGCTCAAACAACAGGCCCAGACAGGTCCGCTGGGTGAGAACAGACCCGCCTCCCCACTGATAGGCCAGACCCGGAAGTACCTATAAGACACATGTGCACACAGGAAAGAACACAGCACTGGCAGTTAGTGTCTGGGAAACTCTGCTTCACGGTCACTGCCCAGCCCGTCCTTCTTAAAGGAAGAGTCCCTCTTCGGTTTGAGCAGAGAGCTTATGGTCCCCCAAAACATCCTTCTAGGGAAGTAGGAGGGATGTAGGAGGAATGGTGGGGGGGCTCCTCCTTGCCAGACCTGACCAATCATAACACGAGTGGCCAGCTCAACTGCTCCAGGAACCTTTTGGTACCTGCTACCTTCATTGGACGGCTACATCGTGGCCAGGTCGGTTTCCTGCCAAAGCCACCATGTGAAGAAGATGACAGCCACTGGGAACAATCCCAACCATGCTGGCCACAGCCCTGGGACCACAGTACCACGAACAGCTTCTGCCAGGCTGCATACCAAAGGAGAACGTAGCGTTGTTCTCGAAGGAGTGATTGTCACTCTCAAGGGTCATGGGGTTACCCGGGATCCAGGGCTTCTCATGGGCTATCATCCTTGAGAAAACACTAAACTCAGCCAGGCATAGAGCACGAGCCTCTAATCCTAGCACCTGGAAGGCAGGAGAGTCAGGAAGTCAAGGTCATCTTCAGCTGTGTGGTGAGGCTGAGGCAGGTCTAGCCTACCTGAAACCCGCCTCAGAAAACCAACAACAAACCCTCCCTGAGCTGTTGAGATGGCGCAGCAGGTAAGGGCGCTCACCACAAGCTGGCAGCCAGAGCGCAGCCACAGCCCACTTGGTAGGAGAGAACACACTCCCACAAGTTGTCCTCTAACCACCACGTGGGAGCTGTGCAGCACATGCATGCACGCACACACACACACACACATGTACACACACGCACGCACACACAGGCATACATAAGCACACAAATAAAAATTTGGAAATAAAAATGCCAGGCATTGCGATACACACCTTTAATCCCAGCACTGGGGAGGCAGAGGCAGGCGGATCTCTGTGAGTTCTGGGTCAGCCTGGTCTACATAATGAGTTCCAGACCAGGAAGAGTACATAGTGAGACCCTGTCTCAAAAACATAAACAAATTAGCTGACCTGACCCTCTCTTCTCATCCCACCAGGGTATCAGCAGGCTGCTAAGTCACTTCTGTATACACAGAGGGACCCAGAATGGCTCTGAGGCGCTAGCCTGACACTCCTTCCTTCCCTGGGCAGAAGACCCTGCCTCTGGAAATCTAGGCCCAATCCAGGAACCACCCAGGTTGGACACCAGTCAGACTCCCGTTTCTGTTGCCTGTGCACGGGGGCAGGTCTGCGCCACAGGGCCCAAAGGCCTACGGATAAGCTCCTGGTGAACGGCATGAAGCTGTCCTGTTTTTCTTTCCTTCATCTTTCATGAAATTCCCCGAGGACATAGCTCCCAAGGGAACTAAGCCACCAGGAAAGAGGTCAAAGACTGCGTTCTTCCAGGAGGAAAATCAAAACTGTACATTTTATTCTTGAATCCTTAATCACCAGGGCCAAGGACAAGCATCTCTCTCTGCCAAGGCAAACACCGCTCAGAACTGCAGCCGAAGTGATGCAGGGGCCAAAGCAAACAGCGGAGCTGCATGGCGGTGACATGGAACAGAGCCATGCCCCAGCCTTCCCAAGAGGTCCTGCCAGGATAGGAACAGCCCCTAGCAGGGAGTCAGTCACCACACGTCCCAGGAGAAGGCGCATGGCAGACTGGCTGGACCAGCCTACAGCTGCACACTGGCGACTCTGGCTCTCCCCCGACTGTGCCTCTGTGTGGGCCGGGTATCTCCTGGCCCACACGCCAAAGCTGCCCAACCTGTACCAGCGCCACCACACACCATGGACTTCTGAATAACAAAACACAATATGAGATCTGAGCACAGGAGTCAAAGAATCAGTAGTTGGGCCCCCAGAGGGCAGGAAAGTCCTTCAGACATCTGCATCCTACCTGTGCCCAACACCTCCAAAGCTGGCGAAGATCTCACGCCACATGTTCACCCGGAAGGAGCGCCAACCACTGTCCCAAACAGCAAACGACCCACGAGGAGTTCACCCTGAGTGCCCAGCCTGCCAGCCTGCAGCCACTGCTGGACGGCCTGCCCCAGGGCCAAGATCCAGAGAGTTTCTCTGCCACTGCAGCAGCTCTGACTGTACATCCAGATGAGTCCCAGCAGCACGTGGGGGAAGCCTGGAGCTGGACGTGCAGGCTGACTGCCCAGGCATGAGTTTTACTAAGGAGGACTGTGGGCTTCTCCAGAGCAAACCTACTCCTCACACCCTGCATGATACTCGACAGGGAAGTTCCTGTTTAATGGTTTCAGTGCAGAACCAGGAAAAATGGGGAGATGCAGACTGTGACCAGGACTTCTCTCCCACCCCTGCAGTAAAGAGCAAACTGTAATGGAACTAATGACTAATAATTTAATAAACCTCACTCCCCTGACAGCATGTGCTTGCTTCCATGGAGCACACCACGGAGTGTTTGGATACTAAACAGAAAAACCCCAAGGCTGCTCTGAATCCCGTTTGCCGGCAGCTCGAACACAGCTTTGGAGCTCCTTCAGCCCTTCCACCCACCTTCAGGATTCCTCCAGACCCACGTAGCTACAACTTTAAAGCCATTATTAAAGGATAAATTAAAAGTATAATCTGCCCCCCGGACTCCAGCTGACACCTAAGGGGCCACCCTAGAAGCTTCCATCTGCTGCCGGCAGCGGAGTGAACACAGCTAAAGGGGTTTCACAAGCCACTGCCTAGGAAGGCACAGCCATGGCTGGTTCATACAAACAGAAACTGTTGCCCTGGAGCAGAGCACGGTCTCATTCAGCCATGAACCAGCAACTCCATGTAAAAACCAGGGATTGATCACAAGCCTTCCGCTGACCCTTCAGACACAGTTTTGAAATAATGCCTGGCTTTGTAAGAGCACTGCTATGGACCGGTCAGGGCAGGGATCTTTCTCTTGAGAAAGAAAAAAAAAATGTCACTGGGAGCTGCAATGGGCCTGGTGCCATCAGGGAGCCCCAGGCTGTGTTACTGGAGATGGGGGGCCAGGACTGTGAGAACCCATACTGAAGAAACGGGAAATGGCCCGTCCATCTGTACCCAAGACTCAGACATAACACGACAGCGGGGGGCTTGTCGAGGGGGCCAGAGGAAGGCTCTGCAGTTCTCCTAGGAGAAACTGTCATCTCACAGATGAGAATGTGCATGCGACTCTTAACACATATCAGAAGCAAAAGCAGGCGCGTCAGCCTCCTACACAATTAGTCTTCTCCCTCTGCGGTTACATAAGATGATGGATTATCTGTCCACCCATCCAACCTGCCCGCGCTCGACCTCCTACTTTGGGCTACGTCCATTAACAGCCGTAAAGGAGTTGTGGAAAGGGAAAGCCTGTTGAGGAGAAAGTGCCCAGAGGCTGGCATAACAGCGCCTAGGAGAGCCCTACCGTGCCACCGCGCCAAGCAAGCGCAGGGCTACGGACCGCTGCAGTCTGCAACCCCCACGCCGCCCCCGCTCCCTCTTCCCCTCACTCCAGGGTGGCAGAGCAGCCCAGGCTTCGCACCGTTCGGTCCCTCTGGACGCCGGGGCAGACAGGCTTACCGAGGGACCACGCGCGCGCGGGGGCAGAAGGCCGTCGGGGTGGGGGCGCCCACTCGTGCTCGGGGACCACGCGGACCGCGGCGGGCGCAAGGACCCTGGGCGGGCTCGGCCACCTGTGACCAACCGAAGATCGGCCCACCCCACCCGCAGTCCGGGAGCCGGTGCCCAGCTCGGGCCTGAAGACTCAGGGGCGCACTCGGGTCCGCGCTGGAAACTCACCTTGTAGACATTTTCCGTGAGCCGGTGCATCTCCTCCGAGCGTGAAAGCGACATGGTCCTGGGTCCCGGCTACACCACAGACCAAAGAAGGGGAACAGGCGGCGGTAAGGAAAGCGACGGCTACAGCAACAGGAAAAGGCGCGCAGACCAGGACCACAGAGCTCGGCTCCCGGCGGCCGCGGCTTTTATAGCCGCTCAGGCCCCACCCCATTTAGACTCCGCCTCCGGGCCCCGCCCCCGCCGCGCCCGGATCACCGCCCCCGGCTGTCCGCCCCCGCCCAACCCAGC